CCCCAAAACCCCAAAACCCCAAAACCCCAAAACCCCATATATAAGCAACCTGATTGACTCATTGTTTGCTGGCATCTCCAATCGCAATTCAATCAAATAATTTGAATGGATTGTTAATCTAGAAAGCCATAAAGATGGTATAGAATAACAATCAAGAATGCTTATTTTGAATGATTATTCTATATTTTCAGCCAAAATTCCTGAGTAAAGATAGACTATATTATCCAACCATTACTGAGTCAATGGGCATTACCAACTTTTATTTATAGCTTCCTCTTTTTATCTACCATTTCTTTGAAATTTTGAAAGGATATTTAAATTGCAAATGCACCATCCCATCTGAATCTATCAACATTGCCTTTCCTTTATAAGATCCTCTTTGAAAAAATCCTTCGGGTGCATATGCTTCAGGAAGGTTGAATACATGAGCATCTTTAGTAGGAGCAAAGGTTCCCATGACGTGCTCTTCCTTCTGAGCTGTAATCTTAAGCTTTTTAACTATATTGGCAAATTTGAGTCCATATACAATATCATTATGAACTTTAAAAGTGATTCTGATATTAAACATAGCTCCTTCCTTCAAAACAAACTCTTCTGCCTTCTTCATTTCTTCGTCTTCTCTAAAGTTTAATGCGATATTTCCTTCTTCTCTATCTTGGCATACAAATTCAATGGAGAATACTTCAACTTCTGCAGGGGCCTCTTCTTCAATAGCTCCAAGATCTCCAAGAAGATTATTTTTATAATTAACAAGGGATTCGTCTTCTTTATCCTTATTTTAACATCTGTACACAAGACATTCTTCTTGCTTTTGGCTTTCCATCGTCTTTGAGGGAATCAGGAATCTCATCCTTGGGCAAGTCTTTGACATAACAACTCATTTGCCTCTTTTTGAAGTCTGTCTTGGAAGAACTATCTTCTCCTAAGTCAGCATAGCCTGTGAATTCCAATGGCTCCATATCTTATGTTTTATTTTTAATATTATTAGTTATCTCTAACTCAAGGCTAAATTATCAAATAGGGGTTTTGGGGTTTTGGGGTTTTGGGGTTTTGGGG